AAAAACTATTTAATCCGTTTTAGAATAAGGCTTTAACGTGACAAAATGTGGAAAAGGTCAATGGGTCTGAATACTTTCCGAATGCACTGTATATATTTATATATACATATATACAGGGAGTTAATAGCCTATTGCACACGGATTGCACATACAGTATATACTGTACATGTGCAGCTTCATTGGCTATTGTTTGTTTGAATTCAAGACCAGATCTATCTCTGTTTATCAGTCGCCACTCATTTCCAGTAGTGGATTAAATCACAGTGGAAGCCAGGAAAAAAAAAGCCATATTCCAACCTATGTCTTGTGATAATTGCGTTGTTTGCTCTATAACCTGTTACTTCATATGCCTTGACACCGTGATAATAAGGACTAAGGCCGAGACAATGAGAAGACACAGTGGCAGAATAAATTCAACCACACCTTTTGTTTCATCACAAAAACCGGAGAGCAACATCTGTCCGATGGAGTCCACAAAGCATATTGCATGTAACTCACAGTTATACTGAACAAAAATATAAATGCAACATGTAAAGTATTGCTCCCATGTTGGTCCCATGTTTCATGAGCTGAAATAAAAGATCCCAGAAATTGTACATATGCACAAAAAGCTTATTCCTTGCACAAATTTGTTTACATCCCTGTTAGTGAGCATTTATCCTTTGCCAAGATAATCCATCCACCTGACAGGTGTGGCATATCAAGAAGCTGATTAAACAGCATGATCATTACACAGGTGCACCTTGTGCTGGGGACAATAAAAGTCCACTCTAAAATGTGCTCGCTAGCATTTCATGGGCAACGATTAGCCAGCTAGTTAACATTAGCCTAACTTCCTTTCATTAGCCAGCTAGTTAACATTAGCCTAACTTCCTTTCATTAGCCAGCTAGTTAACATTAGCCTAACTTCCTTTCATTAGCCAGCTAGTTAACATTAGCCTACTACGTCTAGCCACATATTGAACTTCCATCCTCTCAGGTCAGAGGCACAATGTATGAATTTATGGGCACAATGAACAACAAAGATTAGCAACCCAGTCTTCATGGCCAATGAAATTATCACTCAAATTCTAAACAAATAGCCACGTTTTGATTTCAGGACACCATGCACAACGGAGAACAGCTTTAGATTATTTGGCTCCGAGGCTGTTGACTGTCTGCCGGAGATAATAACCCTGTGTTTCACAAGAGAACCCACTTTTACAAGCACCACAGTAGGTTCAACCCAACCCAAACCTCTCCTTTACGCTTCAAGTTTATCGCAGTGGTCACCCAGTCTTGGTGGCCAACTAAATTGTCTTGTCAAATTTTAATAAAAAAAAAGCAAGCATAAAGTATCCCTGGTTCAACCGCAGTAGCTATAGCTACCCAGTCTTGGTGGCCAACCAAATTGTCACAAATGTTTAATCGAATAAAAGCCTAGTGATGCAGTGAAGTAATGAATCCATGGACATTTTAATATGCATCAAACCTCAAGGCCTGAGGTGCTGAGGGCCAAGATGACATTTTGTACTGAACACATTCTAAACAACGCCTTATAAATACCTCCGTTAGTAGTGTTAAATACCTCCGTTAGTAGTGTTAAATACCTCCGTTAGTAGTGTTAAATACCTCCGTTAGTAGTGTTAAATACCTCCGTTAGTAGTGTTAAATACCTCCGTTAGTAGTGTTAAATACCTCCGTTAGTAGTGTTAAATACCTCCGTTAGTAGTGTTAAATACCTCCGTTAGTAGTGTTAAATACCTCCGTTAGTAGTGTTAAATACCTCCGTTAGTAGTGTTAAATACCTCCGTTATTAGTGTTAAATACCTCCGTTATTAGTGTTAAATACCTCCGTTAGTAGTGTTAAATACCTCCGTTAGTAGTGTTAAATACCTCCGTTAGTAGTGTTAAATACCTCCGTTAGTAGTGTTAAATACCTCCGTTAGTAGTGTTAAATACCTCCGTTAGTAGTGTTAAATACCTCCGTTAGTAGTGTTAAATACCTCCGTTAGTAGTGTTAAATACCTCCGTTAGTAGTGTTAAATACCTCCGTTAGTAGTGTTAAATACCTCCGTTAGTAGTGTTAAATACCTCCGTTAGTAGTGTTAAATACCTCCGTTAGTAGTGTTAAATACCTCCGTTAGTAGTGTTAAATACCTCCGTTAGTAGTGTTAAATACCTCCGTTAGTAGTGTTAAATACCTCCGTTAGTAGTGTTAAATACCTCCGTTAGTAGTGTAGGGAGAATTTTTCATTATTTACATCTGGCTTTACTATTACTGCCTCATACCACTTGTCACTTGTCTTGAAATAATTAGCTAGAAACGTAGTGGATTTCACATTTTATCAGAATAGTATACAGAAACAGACAGACTGAGGTACTAAAGAAGAGAAACAAGGGCTGAGATACTTGAAAAAAAAAAGGCTTTAATGACAAAGGAGATTTTGTGATTCGAAGAACACACATTTGTTCCAACTTTCACACAGAAACATACCCACTGCACCTTAGCTCAGGGCTAAGCGAATGTTCACACATTGTAAAACGGGCTAGCACTAACCTTAACTCAGGGCTGGCTGAGTTACCAGAAACACGGTGCCAAAATAGCCAGTGTGAAACGGGGTCAAGAACAACGCATATAATCTTTTACTGTCCAATCACAAAAGCTACACATTCACATTCAATTTTTCTATATGCTTATGATGGCCTGTGATGTGTTCTGCATGCTATTTTAATGTCAATTTATAATATTTCATCCTTCTATCAGAGGACAAAAAAACTTAAAAAAAATTATAATAATACTTTCATCCATGCAAAAACATTAGTTGCTATGGCTAACAAAAATGGTTGCTATGCAGGCTGGCTAACTTCTCCTCACTTAGCTTAGCCAACTGAAGCCACAGCCTTTACAGCTGGAAGGGCAGCAAATGATCCATTTTCATCTGCTTTCATATTGACATTTAATTGGATATAGCTATCCATGACAATAATATTGTTGCATGATTTCGCCTGGATCAGAAAAGTTGATGTCTCGTCTGTGCCCAGAGTTCTCTGTGCAGGGGCGAGATCGCATTAAAAAAAAAAAAAAGTGTAACATTGATTTCGAGGTTGGACAGGCAGACAGCAAGGGTGATACAAGCCATCACTGTTGGAAATAAAATGCTAGGCTAGAAGTAAGGGGAAATAATGTGTTAATAAATGCCTTATTGCTTCTAACGTTGGTTGCATGTGTGTTTGTCCATTACGGCCAGTCTTAGCCTGGGGCTCAGAACAATGAAGTGTGAAAAGGCCTAAAGCATTGAATTCATTGACAACAGTAGCATCTGAAAAGAAAAACATACAACCAGCATAATGGCCTTTTTTTTTATTTTATTTTTTATATAACATCCACAACACTTACCCCTCCTGGAACAGATTGAGTGGGTGAAAACGGACATCCCTGACGGGTCAATTACGAACTAATGGAAACAGTTCATATTTAACCAGTAAAAGGGTGCGTTCCAAATGGCACCCTATTGGCATTATAGAGGAATAGAGAAAATTGGTATATAAGGAATAGGGTACCACTATATAGGGAATAGGGTACCACTATATAGGGAATAGGGTACCACTATATAGGGAATAGGGTGCCACTATATAGGGAATAGGGTGCCACTATATAGGGAATAGGGTGCCACTATATAGGGAATAGGGTGCCACTATATAGGGAATAGGGTACCACTATATAGGGAATAGGGTGCCACTATATAGGGAATAGGGTGCCACTATATAGGGAATAGGGTACCACTATATAGGGAATAGGATACCACTATATAGGGAATAGGGTACCATTTGAGACGCACCCAAAGGTTTCCAGAGGAGCTGTGAAACTATTCATTCACACTTTACAAAGTGCAAGAAGAAGCACATTGAGTCGACACGATTCCCACTCAGTTATCACAGAATAAATACAAAAAAGTGGAATAAAACAGCTAAAATAACATTAAATGAAATAGAAAAATGACAGCTTGTCCTTGACGTGTGCCTCCATAATTTAAAAAAAAAAGTGTTTAAATCATTTTCTCTCTTTAGTCTAAAGTGCATCCAAGGACACTGTTTATATTAGTAAACGTCTTCATCTAAAACTTTAACTTCATGTGATTATGGCTGTACATTTAGGCCCTTTGATACCTGAATTCTCAGCTCTTGGCTAAATAATTATACAACGGTTAACCCCTTTACAATAGCTTTACATAGAGGCTACCCTTATAACATTCGCTCTACACAGAGAGAGGAAGGGTTCGAGCGCTTAAGATTGACCAACGCTACATAATTTTTGTTTGTTTGCCTGTTAAATGTTTACTTACGACGGTACAATACAGAAAACAATTTATAAGCCATTGAAAGTCAACCATCAAGTCAACCTCTGATGTTTTATCTAAACATCTTCTCACGGACCCTGTGTTCTAACCCCTGCTCCTTCCTGAGAGGGGCATGGGGAGGGAGGGAGGGAGGGAGGGAGGGAGAGAAGGCAGACGAGGAGGAGGGGAATCGGCCCGCTATCTCTCACGCAACCGACCTTCACATCCTAGTAGCTTGTTCTGCCATACAGACAGACACAGAGAGAGATACAGACCGACAGACAGATACAGACAGAGAGATACAGACAGAGAGATACAGACAGACACAGACAGACAGACAGACAGAGAGATACAGACAGAGACAGACACAGACAGAGAGATACAGACAGACACAGACAGACAGACAGATACAGACAGACACAGACAGAGACAGACACAGACAGAGCGATACAGACAGACAGACAGAGACAGAGAGATACAGACAGACACAGACAGACAGACAGAGAGATACAGACAGAGACAGACGGATTGAGAGCCCTTCCAAATGACAGAGAGGAGAGAGAGAAATCTATTATTTACAGACCACGTGTCTCCCTCCTATAACAACCGGCTTTACAGTATGTACAAAGAAACGAACACTGCTCCAGCACACCGCCGAGCACCATAACCACCGCTGGCCCCTCAGTTGGCCTTTGCGACGCGCGAGTCTGAGCCGATGTAGTTGAGCATGGTCTGGACGAGCTCCGGGAGGTCATAGTCGTGTTTCCAGCCCCAGTCGTTCCGCGCGTTAGAGTCCTCAAAGTTCATTGGCCAGCTGTCGGCTGTAAAGGGGAAGGAAGAGAGAGACATTGTCAATGTTGGATGTCTTCTTTACTCTAAAAGGCTTTTAACACTTTGTCGTTTGTTTCTACATTAAAACTTCATCAAATCTAAAATGCTTGGAAGTTCGAGAATCTCAATGTTGAGCTTCTAGTGGAGTATTTAGACAGGTCTTCCTGGTTTACTGATCTTTGATCTCAAAATGGTATCATCCACCAGTATTATGGTTGCTAATTCCCAGCTTTTCAAGAAATCCCAGTCGGAGGATTCCCAGAATCAGAAGGGAATAAGCAAGGAGGGAATCTTCCCACTGGGTTTTCAGGAAAACCTGGGAATGTTGCAACCCCAACCAGTATAAATAAAGGATCAATAAAATGCTCATACCGATGGCCTGTCTGACTTGGTCGATGTCGTAGGTGACCTCCAGGTCCGGCAGCTGTTTCTGGACCTCCTGAGCCAGCTCTTCAGGGGTAAAGCTCATGGCGTTGATGTTGTAGGTCCTCATGGAGAGGGTGTCTGTGGGCGCTTCCATCATCTCCACGGTGGCACGCAGACAGTCGTCGATGTACATCATGGGCAGCCGCGTGTCTGGCTTCAGGTTGCACTCAAACTTCCCCGTCTTGACGGCATCGTGGAAGATGGCTACCGCGTAGTCTGGAGTAAGGGAGGCAGGAGATACGCTTAGATGTGTTTGGTTTAATCATAGTGACTGATGACCTTCGACCTATTAAGTGTATGCACTTCTGTATGTATCTCTTCTGGTCTATACTACTGATCAACTGATCTCGTCTGGTCTATACTACTGATCAACTGATCTGGTCTGGTCTATACTACTGATCAACTGATCTCTTGTGATCTATACTACTAATCAACTGATCTCTTCTGGTCAATACTATTGATCAACTGATCTCTTGTGATCTATACTATTGATCAACTGATCTCTTCTGGTCTATACTATTGATCAACTGATCACTTCTGATCTACTGTATCTAGTGTACAACATCTTTGTAAACAATGTGATTTTGAGACATTTCATTATTTGTACTTATCTATTTTTTACTTAAAACTGCATTGTTGGTTAAGGGCTTGTAAGTAAGCATTTCACTGTAAGGTCTACACCTGTTGTATTCGGCGCATGTGACAAATAAAATGTGATTTGACCTAACACCCTAGTATTATCACCCTGTAGCAGTATTACCTAACGTCCTAGCATTATCACCCTGTAGCAGTATTACCTAACGTCATAGCATTATCACCCTGTAGAGGTATTACCTAACGTCCTAGCATTATCACCCTGTAGAGGTATTACCTAACGTCCTAGCATTATCACCCTGTAGTAGTATTACCTAACGTCCTAGCATTATCACCCTGTAGGGGTATTACCTAACGTCATAGCATTATCACCCTGTAGCAGTATTACCTAACGCCCTAGCATTATCACCCTGTAGCATTATCACCCTGTAGAGGTATTACCTAACGTCATAGCATTATCACCCTGTAGCATTATCACCCTGTAGCAGTATTACCTAACGCCCTAGCATTATCACCCTGTAGCATTATCACCCTGTAGGGGTATTACCTAACGTCCTAGCATTATCACCCTGTAGGGGTATTACCTAACGTCATAGCATTATCACCCTGTAGGGGTATTACCTAACGTCATAGCATTATCACCCTGTAGTAGTATTACCTAACGTCATAGTATTATCACCCTGTAGAGGTATTACCTAACGTCATAGCATTATCACCCTGTAGCATTATCACCCTGTAGGGGTATTACCTAACGTCATAGCATTATCACCCTGTAGTAGTATTACTTAACGTCATAGCATTATCACCCTGTAGGGGTATTACCTAACGTCATAGCATTATCACCCTGTAGGAGTATTACCTAACGTCATAGCATTATCACCCTGTAGGGGTATTACCTAACGTCATAGCATTATCACCCTGTAGGGTATTACCTAAGTAGTATATCACCCTGTAGAGTATTACCTACGTCATAGCATTATCACCCTGTAGCATTATCACCCTAGGGATTACCTAACGTATAGCATTATCACCCTGGTATTACTACGCATGCTTATCACCCTGTAGGGGTATTACCTAACGCATAGCATTATCACCCTGTAGTGTATTACCTAACGTCTAGCATTATCACCTGTAGGGGTATTACCTAACGTCATAGCATTATCACCCTGTAGGTATACCATCATACTTTCACCCTGTAGCATTATCACCCTGTAGCAGTATTACCTAACGCCCTAGCATTATCACCCTGTAGCATTATCACCCTGTAGGTATTACCTAACGCCCTAGCATTATCACCCTGTAGGTATTACTAACGCTCATACCCTGTAGGGGTATTACCTAACGCCCTAGCATTATCACCCTGTAGCATTATCACCCTGTAGGTATTACCTACCCTGTAGGATTATAACCCTTAGTTATCACCCGTAGCATTATCACCCTGTAGTAGTATTACCTAACGCCCTAGCATTATCACCCTGTAGCATTATCACCCTGTAGGGGTATTACCTAACGCCCTAGCATTATCACCCTGTAGCATTATCACCCTGTAGGGGTATTACCTAACGCCCTAGCATTATCACCCTGTAGGGGTATTACCTAACGTCATAGCATTATCACCCTGTAGCAGTATTACCTAACGCCCTAGCATTATCACCCTGTAGCATTATCACCCTGTAGGGGTATTACCTAACGCCCTAGCATTATCACCCTGTAGCATTATCACCCTGTAGGGGTATTACCTAACGCCCTAGCATTATCACCCTGTAGGATTATCAACCATACTATACGTAGGGTATTACCTAACGCCCTAGCATTATGTAAAACACCTGTAGGGGTATTACCTAACGCCTAGCATTACACCTGTGCATACACCTGTAGGGGTATTACCTAAACCCTAGCATTATCACCCTGTAGCATTATCACCCTGTAGGGGTATTACCTAACGCCCTAGCATTATCACCCTGGGTATACACTTATATCACCCTGTAGCAGGTATTACCTAACGCCCTAGCATTATCACCCTGTAGCATTATCACCCTGTAGGGGTATTACCTAACGCCCTAGCATACACTGTACATTATCACCCTGTAGGGTATTACCTAACGCCCTAGCATTATCACCCTGTAGATATCGTAGTATTACCTAACGCTCATAGCATTATCACCCTGTAGCGGTATTACCTAACGTCATAGCATTATCACCCTGTAGTAGTATTACCTAACGTCATAGCATTATCACCCTGTAGTAGTATTACCTAACATCATAGCATTATCATCCTGTAGTAGTATTACCTAACATCATAGCATTATCACCCTGTAGCAGTATTACCTAACGTCATAGCATTATCACCCTGTAGCAGTATTACCTAACGCCCTAGCATTATCACCCTGTAGCATTATCACCCTGTAGGGGTATTACCTAACGCCCTAGCATTATCACCCTGTAGGGGTATTACCTAACGCCCTAGCATTATCACCCTGTAGCATTATCACCCTGTAGGGGTATTACCTAACGCCCTAGCATTATCACCCTGTAGCATTATCACCCTGTAGGGGTATTACCTAACGCCCTAGCATTATCACCCTGTAGGGGTATTACCTAACGCCCTAGCATTATCACCCTGTAGCATTATCACCCTGTAGCATTATCACCCTGTAGGGGTATTACCTAACGCCCTAGCATTATCACCCTGTAGCATTATCACCCTGGTTAGAAATAACGACCATGTTCTAAAACATGTCCCTGTCACATAACCCCAATGACATGTTGAAGTCAGGAAGCAGACGCAAATAGAGTTACGACAGTGAAGGGACTGGTGTTCCGCTATGGTGTGTGTGTGTGTGTGTGTGTGTGTGTGTGTCACTAACTCACCTGTCGTTCCTCCGCCAGGCTGTGAGTCGGCAGAGATGATGCCTGGGTAGCGGAGGCAGCGGAAGTCAAGGCCGTAGCGGTGGTGGTAGTACTGTTGGAGGGAAGACAGGCAATAAGGGTTAGAGGTTTCACTCATAGGGACATTACAGACCAATGATTTCAGATTCACCAGGTCAAATTCACCAGGTCAGATTCAGCAGGTCAGATTCAGCAGGTCAGATTCAGCAGGTCAGATTTATCAGGTCAGATTCACCAGGTCAGATTCAGCAGGTCAGATTTATCAGGTCAAATTCAGCAGGTCAGATTCAGCAGGTCAGATTCAGCAGGTCAGATTTATCAGGTCAGATTCACCAGGTCAGATTCAGCAGGTCAGATTTATCAGGTCAGATTCAGCAGGTCAGATTTATCAGGTCAGATTCAGCAGGTCAGATTCAGCAGGTCAGATTCAGCAGGTCAGATTCACCAGGTCAGATTCAGCAGGTCAGATTCAGCAGGTCAGATTCAGCAGGTCAGATTCAGCAGGTCAGATTCAGCAGGTCAGATTCACCAGGTCAGATTCACCAGGTCAGATTCCTGGTATATGTATTTTAAAGTAAGTAGCGAGGGCAGAGTGGCTTGAGGCTGAATGCTTATTGTCAATTTATCCCCATTTTGCTTTGTATTTTGTATTTGTTACAATATTTGTGTATTTTTTATCTCACCTCTCCCATGAGCTCTGCGTGGACTTTGGAGACCCCGTAGATGGTCCTGGGTCTCTGGACACAGAGGTCAGGGGTCGGGTTCCGGGGAGAGGTGGGTCCGAAGGCTCCGATGGTGCTGGGGACGAACAGACGCAGGCCGTGCTCCGCTGCGATGTCCAGGACGTTGTGGAGCCCTGAGGAACAGGAAGTTCACAGTTACTCCCTGGTGGACACCTCCCAGGCTTGGTTAGAAGAAAACTGGTGTGCTGTGGATCTCGTCTGAGCCAGGTTCACAGTTACTCCCCTCCTCCACCTTCCCAGGCCTGGCTAGAAGGACAATGTGGTGTGTTGTGGATTTAAGTTGAGCCAAGATGGCGGATTCTCCATTGCTCACCAGTGATGTTGACGTCGCGTGCCAGAGCTACGTTGGCCTCTCCCACGGCACTGAGCAGGGCGCTGTAATGGACCAACCACGTGATGCGGTTGTTGACAACGATCTCACGCAGGTTCTTATAGTCCAGGATGTCAGAGTAGATGAAGGGTCCTGGAGGGGGAGGGTTCAGTAGAAACAATAAGCAGAAATATAAAACATGCAGGAAATAAGCTTTAAACCTGCAACATTGTCTCTCCGCCAACAAGAGGTGTGTGAACAGTTCGTGTCGTGAACAGCGCTTGTGCCCATAGAAATAGACGTGGCGCAGGATGTTCCCCAATGCTGGAAGGGGGGATCTGAGTGAAAAAGTTTGGGAACCCCTGTGTCTAGGGTGTCCACCCACTCTGGCCAGAGCCATTTAGTTAATCCACTATTATCTAGGGTGTCCAAAATGCGCTTTGGTGATGAAATTACACTTCCTTATGTTATTAAATACATCTACAAAGACAAATATGATTCTTCATGTTCTGAATCGTTAAGTGGGGTCTTTCTCTTACATATCCCGTGTAGCTCAGTTGGTAGAGCATGGCGTCTTGCAACGCCAGGGTTGTGGGTTCCAATCCCCACGGGGGGCCAGTATGAAACATTTATGCACTCACTAACTGTAAGTCGCTCTGGATAAGAGAGTCTGCTAAATGACTAAAATGTAAATATCATTATATCCAGAAAGTCGGATTTCGTAACATAATACATCCGATAATAAGCACCAAGCTCTGTTGACAGAGCGGTGCCGATTTCTCGCAGCGTCTTTTTAGGATTGTTCATGTTGTCGTCTGCAAAGTTGTTTCAGCAGGTCCACAAAAAATCTAAATGAACGAGCTGAATTAAAATGTAAAAGGCTTTGAAAATAAAAAAGCTTGCAGTACACTCAGCGCTCCGCTTGGTTTTTGTGAGAAATCTTCTAAAAAAGAACAGGAATTTCGCATTAATATGAAAAGCTGTATACTAAAATATGAAAATCAACATGTCATGTCTCAAAGTCAATATCTATCTTACCTCTATATTGTTTTATGTCCTCCCGATTGGAGAAGAAAGATGATGAGGTAACCTTAATTCTTCACAGCATCCAACCTAGCTGACACCATGCTATTTTACAGTATTGTTGTCTCTGGCCTCCATTGACATAGTTCTATTTCTGACCATCCTACAAGGATAAGTATTATGATAGAGACTTGAGGTTTGGACCATTGGTTTCCTTAGAGGATCATCTACATAATTAAACTTTTTTAAAACGTTTTTTTACTGGACCTCCTATATTATCATGGTCCTCTGTAGCTCAGCTGGTAGAGCACGGCGCTTGTAACGCCAAGGTAGTGGGTTCGATCCCCGGGACCACCCATACACAACAAAAAAATGTATGCGCACATGACTGTAAGTCTCTTTGGATAAAAGCGTCTGCTAAAATGGCATATTATTATATTCTCATTGTTGTTTTTCTTTTTCTGATCAATATATTTTCTATTTTGGTGTCTCCCTGGGTTTTGAATGTTTGAATGACACAATATTCTTGATTAACAGGGCTCTAGACAGTTGATATGGAAATACAGTGGGGAGAACAAGTATTTGATACACTGCCGATTTTGCAGTTTTTCCTACTTACAAAGCATGTAGAGGTCTGTAATTTTTATCATAGGTACACTTCAACTGTGAGAGACGGAATCTCAAACAAAAATCCAGAAAATCACATTCTATGATTTTTAAGTAATTAATTTGCATTTTATTGACCTCTACATGCTTTGTAAGCAGGAAAACCTGCAAAATTGGCAGTGTATCAAATACTTGTTCTCCCCACTGTAGGTCAGTTAATGTTAAGACTTGGATGGCGTCCGTCACTGCAGTACTGGCCAGCCAATCACCATTCATCAGGTATTGATCATGTGGTCTGTGACCTCAGTTATCATTTAACCTTTCAGAACACGTCCACTTCCTGGCGACCTTCTGTACAAGAAGCTTTTCACAAGGATCAATATCACGACTAACTGAATCATTCCCTATTTTACCTACGGACACTCCAGATGTCTTTTCTATTCATATTTCAGACATTTTGAAGCAAATTATGGACGAGTTTACATTCTCCTGAAAGAATGAACGGATGTATTTCAGCCAAAAAGGAATCAGGTTTTCTTCCTGGTTGTAACGAGGTAATTTAGCCTGCTGGCTTGTGAGTTGATCAGACGCCAACAGAGTATTTACATGGTCTGACAACCTAGTGTCACGATCGTCATACATAGAGGAGGACCAAGGCGCAGCGTGTTGAGCGAACATACTTTAATTAGTTAAAGTGCACACACGATACAAAACAACAAAACGACTCGTAACGTCCTAGGTAACAATGACCAACTGGAACAAAAACCCACAAACACCAAGGGAAAACAGACAGTTTAAATATGGCTCCCAATCAGACAACCAGCCACAGCTGACACTCGTTGCCTCTGATTGGGAGTCACTCAGGCCAACAAAGAAACAGAAGAACTAGAACCCCCAACATAGAAATATAACACATAGAATGAACACACCCTGGCTCAACATATAGAGTCCCAGAGCCAGGGTGTGACAGTACCCCCCCCTAAAGGCGCGGACTGCAACCGCGCCTCCACTAGAACAAAACAGGGGAGGGCTGGATGGGCATTCCTCCTCGGCGGCGGTTCTGGCTCCGGCCTTTCCCACCACCCTCCAATAAACCCCCCATAGCGCCCCTGGTCCGGTCTGGCCCCGCTGGCTGGAGCTGAACTGGACGTAGCAGGAGCGGTTAGCTTCAGCTCCGTAGTGGAGCAGTTGACCGGTACCTTACCAGGCACCGGTGACCCAGGCACGGGTTGTGCTGGACTGACGACGCGCACCCCTGGCTTGGTGCGTGGAGCCGGAACGGGCCGAACCGGGCTGACGACTTGCACCCCTGGCTTGGTGCGTGGAGTAGGAACGGGCCGAACCGGGCTGACGACTTGCACCCCTGGCTTGGTGCGTGGAGTAGGAACGGGCCGAACCGGGCTGACGACTCGCACCCCTGGCTTGGTGCGAGTGGCAGGAACAGGCCGGACCGGCGACGCGCACCGTAGACTTGGTGCGAGTGGCAGGAACAGGCCGGGCCGGCGACGCACACCGTAGGCTTGGTGCGAGGAGCAGGGACAGGCCGGACCGGGCTGGCGACGCACACCGTAGGCTTGGTGCGTGGAGCAGGGACAGGCCGGACTGGGCTGGCGACGCACACCGTAGGCTTGGTGCGTGGAGCAGGGACAGGCCGGACCGGGCTGGCGACGCACACCGTAGGTTTGGTGCGAGGAGCAGGAACAGGCCGGGCCGGGCTGGCGACGCACACCGTAGGCTTGGTGCGTGGAGCAGGGACAGGCCGGACCGGGCTGGCGACGCACACCGTAGGCTTGGTGCGTGGAGCAGGGACAGGCCGGACCGGGCTGGCGACGCACACCGTAGGCTTGGTGCGTGGAGCAGGGCCAGGCCGGACCGGGCTGGCGACGCACACCGTAGGCTTGGTGCGAGAGGCAGGAACAGGCCGGACCGGGCTGGCGACGCGTACCGTCCATTTGGTGCGAGGGGCCGTAACAGGCCGGACCGTACTGGGGACACACACCACTGGCTCTACCCCGGGATCTGGAACGGGCCGTACCGGACTGGTAACACATCCCAGTACCTCTCGCCTTGCCTCTAAACCTTCCTTCCCTTCCTTTACCAGTGACCCCCGTAAACCTGGTGGCCTTTTGAATACGCCCCTTTTCTGCCTCCGTCAGCCCCGTCGTCCATGCCCTGTGCCCCCCCCAAAAAAATTATTTGGGGTTGCCTCTCGACCGTCCGACGACCCTGATCACGCCGTTGCTCCTCTCTCCGTCGCCTCTCTACAGTCTCACTCCATGGCCGGCGATCCATCATATAAAGACTGAATGCAGCATAGCCTATGCTACAGTAATATAAAGACTGAATGCAGCATAGCCTATGCTACAGTAATATAAAGACTGAATGCGGCATAGCCTATGCTACAGTAATATAAAGACTGAATGCGGCATAGCCTATGCTACAGTAATATAAAGACTGAATGCAGCATAGCCTATGCTACAGTAATATAAAGACTGAATGCAGCATAGCCTATGCTACAGTAATATAAAGACTGAATGCAGCATAGCCTATGCTACAGTAATATAAAGACTGAATGCAGCGTAGCCTATGCTACAGTAATATAAAGACTGAATGCGGCATAGCCTATGCTACAGTAATATAAAGACTGAATGCAGCATAGCCTATGTTACAGTAATATAAAGACTGAATGCAGCATAGCCTATGCTACAGTACTATAAAGACTGAATGCAGCATAGCCTATGCTACAGTAATATAAAGACTGAATGCAACTCCATTCAAACTGCATCCAAAATAGATAATCCTGTTGTAGATTGATATACAGCCCTATATATAGATGTCCTAGCCTACCTCTTTCAGGTAATATGCAGTATTAGCCTTATAAGCTAATTAATGATGGGTTATGCATAATAAGCTTCTAATTTATAGCCTCTGTCTCTTGCGCAATACGCACCCACCCGTGCTCCGCTGGCCTCTCCTTAAAAAACACTCCTTAGCTCTTGGGAGTCCCATGCAGGAAATGCTAGACTAGAATTGCTTGCTGGATATAATTACTTTTAGCATTACTTATACCAATAAGACTATTCGAAGAGGGACGCAAGCAAATGTTTTGCTGAATGTTAAACACAGCAGCCAATAGAACTCACAGGTAGTTTGAAAGAGGAGCGAACGCGTGATGGCGGTAGCCTATAGCAGTTGTTTATTCAGACCCATAACCAACCATTCAATCTTCGTGAAGGGAAGTGAAAAGCCTTCTGCATCTAATTCTAGTCCTGTATTATTCAAGGATGTCATTAGAATGATGAAGATAAGGACAATGACCCGTATTTCATTTAATTATTGAAAGAGAGGAATGAATGAAGCAACAATAGAGAGAGAGAGAGAGGAGGTCGGCTAATAACATTAGGGGAAATACTATTAAAAGGTATAAATTCGTCAGCCTACTAATTATACAAATAGGACCTATTATATTTTGCTAGCCTATACTTGTAACTTTGTAGGCCACATGTGCTGCACCAGAATCACATGTTCTCTCCCTGCTTTATCATGGTTTGAACGAGGTGCGTAATTCCAGTCCATATAATACAGTATAATACAATACAGTATACAGTAATACAGTATAATACAGTACAGTAATACAGTATAATACAATACAGTACAGTAATAGAGTATAATACAGTACAGTACAGTATAATACAATACAGTAATACAGTATAATACAACACAGTACAGTAATACAGTATAATACAATACAGTACAGTAATAGAGTATAATACAGTACAGTACAGTATAATACAATACAGTAATACAGTATAATACAACACAGTACAGTAATACAGTTCACACTCAAAAAGATTAGCCTACTGGAGCTAGTTTCATTGATTTACCCAAGAGAGCATATACAGTGGCTTGCGAAAGTATTCACCCCACCCTTGGCGTTTTTCCTATTTTGTTGCCTTACAACCTGGAATTAAAATGGGTTTGTATCATTTGTTTTACACAACATGACTACCACTTTGAAGATGCTTGAGCGTGCATTACTATTCATTGCTGGTGTACAGCAATCTTTAAGTCATACCACAGATTCTCAATTGGATTGAGGTCTGGGCTTTGACTAGGCCATTCCAAGACATTTAAATGTTTCCCCTTAAACCACTCGAGTGTTGCTTTAGCAGTATGCTTAGGGTCATTGTCCTGCTGGAAGGTGAACCTCTGTCCCAGTCTCAAATCTCTGGAAGACTGAAACAGGTTCCCTCAAGAATTTCTCTGTATTTAGCACCATCCATCATTCCTTCAATTCTGACCAGTTTCTCAATCCCTGCCGATGAAAAACATCCCCACAGCATGATGCTGCCACCACCATGCTTCACTGTGGGGATGGTGTTCTCGGGGTGATGAGAGGTGTTCGGTTTGCGCCAGACATAGTGTTTTCCTTGATGGCCAAAAAGCTCAATTTTAGTCTCATCTGACCAGAGTACCTTCTTCCATATGTTTGGGGAGTCTCCCACATGCCTTTTGGCAAACACCAAACGTGTTTGCTTATTTTTTTCTTCAAGCAATGGCTTTTTTCTGGCCACTCTTCCGTAAAGCCCAGCTCTGTGGAGTGTACGGCTTAAAGTGGTCCTATGGACAGATACTCCAATCTCCGCTGTGGAGCTTTGCAACTCTTTCAGGGTTATCTTGTGGTCCTCTGTAGCTCAGCTGGTAGAGCACAGCGCTTGTAACGCCAAGGTAGTGGGTTCGATCCCCGGGACCACCCATACACAAAAAATTTATGCACGCATGACTGTAAGTCGCTTTGGATAAAAGCGTCTGCTAAATGGCATATTATTATCTTTGGTCTCTTTGTTGCCTCTCTGATTAATGCCCTCCTTGCCTGGTCCGTGAGTTTTGGTGGGCGGCCCTCTTGGCATGTTTGTTGTGGTGCCATATTCTTTCAATTTTTTAATAATGGATTTAATGGTGCTCCGTGGGATGTTCAAAGTTTCGGATATATTTTTTATAACCCAACCCTGATCTGTACTTCTCCACAACGTTGTCCCTGATCTGTTTGGAGAGCTCCCTGGTCTTCATGGTGCCACTTGCTTGGTGGTGCCCCTTGCTTAGTGGTGTTGCAGACTCTGGGGCCTTTCAGAACAGGTGTATATATACTGAGATCATGTGACACTTAGATTGCACACAGGTGGACTTTATTTAACTTATTATGTGACTTCTGAAGGTAATTGGTTGCACCAGATCTTATTTAGGGGCTTCATAGCAAAGGGGGCGAATACATATGCACGCACCATTTTTCCGTTATTTTATTTTTTAGAATTTTTTGAAATAAGTTATTTTTTTCATTTCACTTCACCAGTTTGGACTATTTTGTGTATGTCCATTACATGAAATCCAAATAAAAATCCATTTAAATTACAGGTTGTAATGCAACAAAATAGGAGAAACGCCAAGGGGGATGAATACTTTTGCAAGGCACTGTAGCTAGCTACATCTTTGGGCTTTTATGTTTTTCTGTCGTGCAGTAATGTGCAGTAGCCTTTATCATATATGTATTGGATAATGGCACAATCATTTGGGCTTTTTGGGGTTTGGGCTCATTAAATGTCGTCAATGTAGGGCTCATAAAATGCATTAAATATATGGCTCATCAGGTTTGAATGTTCATGCTGATCAAAGCTCTAATCAAATCCAGACATATTTATATGTTTTATAATGTTTTTGAATGACACTTCCGATTTTTGGAGGGAAATACCGGGTCACCCGGGAGAAAAGTGATTTATATTCGGGATGGAACATTTGTGAAATACCCGGGAAAATATTAAACCCTAGCGTCAACTGTCTCAGTGTAGGAGTGCTGATCTAGGATCTGGTCCCCCCCGTCCCCCGTCCCCCCCCCCCCCGTCCATGTAATCTTATTCATTGTGATCTAAAAGGCTAAACTGATCCTAAAGCTCTCCTCTGCTGAGATGTTGACATATCGGCCAATGGCTTTGTGGTCAGGTCTGAGATGCTATATTCTGTCTACATGCTTTGTATCACTCACCGCTGTAGAAGACGTGGCTTGGAGGCTTTCTGATATCTGACAGGATCACGTTGTTGTTTCCAAACCGCTTCCTGTGAAACAGGAAGTTACATTTAAACACAAGAAGAAGAGGAAGCTTGACCGAAACACCCCCCCCCCCCCTAAAGGCTACGTTCACTGGTTGGTTGTTGATTACAGGGTTATCACAGTGCTATGAACAATGTTCCCTCCTAACTTTTTTTCGGCACTGAGCAAATTTCAGGTCTGCTGAGCGTTGAATGCTGTGAAGATTCTGTGCAACATCCAGTGCGCATTTACATTTAACATTTAAGTAATTTAGCACACGCTCTCGTGAACACTGAGGCTGTACCCGCTTTAAGTTACAGTTTTAACAGTGGCCAAGTAGGCTGCTGTGGCTATTTGATCTATAATATAGGACTACTAGAGTTGGCTACCATCGAAAATGCATCCCATAACATTTTAACATGGAAATAGCGGTTCTATCGTTCAGCCTACAGTAGCCAATGTGTGGTGTTCAATGTAGGCCTACATTCCATGAGACTTTTGAAAAAAACATGCAGGGCTTGACATTAACCTGAAAATGTTTTTGTGTGGTTTGATGCAAGAAACCACTTTCCAAAATAAAATGCATTATTATCACCATACCATTATTACAGAGAATCAGACAAATTATGCTACCCTCTGCCTATTGGCTACATAGCTTATTCAAGCCTGTCTCAAAATAAAACATTGCCACTTTAAGACAAAATAAAAGCTCTTTACCTGACTTGCTTTTCAAAGATGTCTAGAAATGCACACATTTGTGTTCTTGTAGGAAGCAATCACTCCCCCATTGCTGACTAGAAATGATCTATAACTGGGCTAATAACTCACTGACTAGCAAAGGATATGAACACAATGTGCACACGTGGCTACTTGCAACTCTTGCTTTGATCTCAAAACGAGCACATCTACTCAGGACCACAGCTGTAAACCCAGTCCAGTTCAAAGTAAAGCTGGCTACTTGCAACTCTTGCTTTGATCTCAAAACAAGCACATCTACTCAGGACCACAGCTGTAAACCCAGTCCAGTTCAAAGTAAAGCGTAGAGTACAGGCTGAGTCGTGTGCAACAGAATCCTACTCCGATGCGTACAAAAACATCTCTAGTTCCTTCCGTTTCGGTGTGTTGCATTAGAGTGGCTAACATGGAGTTGATTCGATCACAAGTAAAGGGAAACGTTGACAGTGTTAACTAACGGGGAAAACTCTAGAGAGTTGAGTGAAGTTCAATCTCCCGCTTTTCTCTGTGGGCTGATAGCGCCCCAGTCTCGGCTACTGTGCCCCCCCACCTGGGCTGATAGCGCCCCAGTCTCGGCTACTGTGCCCCCCCACCTGGGCTGATAGCGCCCCAGTCTCGGCTACTGTGCCCCCCCACCTGGGCTGATAGCGCCCCAGTCTCGGCTACTGTGCCCCCCCACCTGGGCTGATAGCGCCCCAGTCTCGGCTACTGTGCCCCCCCACCTGGGCTGATAGCGCCCCAGTCTCGGCTACTGTGCCCCCCCACCTGGGCTGATAGCGCCCCAGTCTCGGCTACTGTGCCCCCCCACCTGGGCTGATAGCGCCCCAGTCTCGGTTACTGTGCCCCCCCACCTGGGCTGACAGCGCCCCAGTCTCGGCTACTGTGCCCCCCCACCTGGGCTGACAGCGCCCCAGTCTCGGCTACTGTGCCCCCCCACCTGGGCTGATAGCGCCCCAGTCTCGGCTACTGTGCCCCCCCACCTGGGCTGATAGCGCCCCAGTCTCGGCTACTGTGCCCCCCCACCTGGGCTGATAGCGCCCCAGTCTCGGCTACTGTGCCCCCCCACCTGGGCTGATAGCGCCCCAGTCTCGGCTACTGTGCCCCCCCACCTGGGCTGACAGCGCCCCAGTCTCGGCTACTGTGCCCCCCCCCCCACCACGCACAGCTTAGAGGGACCATTGACTATGAAGCTTTTATGTATGCTATTCATAAAGCCTTTATAAATTGTAATTCGTTTTTAAGTGGCACCTAGATTATGTAAAGTGTTGGGGGATGCTACTCTTAAAATATAGTTTACCAAGCTACCATTTCCTTCACGTTGAAAGAAGTTAAGCTACACTAAAGCTACCCTTAAGACAATTATAGTTTACTTCATTAACTAAAGTTACTTTGAAAAAAAAAGTAGTTACTACATCCAAACTACTTAGTGAAAGATTATTATATCTCAATCGGAAATATCAAGACTACAAATTGCAAGAACAGTTCACTCTGGAGTCAACAGATTTGTCATTTCAAACCCAAAGAAGTGAGAATTAGGGAGGTATGATGCTGAAAAAGAAAGGATATTCTTGCCTACTTATTTTTTTTTTTGCAAAAGAAGTAGTGTGTAGTTCCAGTGGTTAGCTCCATGGTAACAAAGTAATGAACTAGTGAAAACACCACCTGGATTTGAATTCAGTCCAACGACCACCAAGCTACTGCAAAATGGAGTTACATTACTAGTTGAACTACATGTAGTTCACTACTACACAACACTGATTATGTACTAATAATAAGCATCCAAAACAATTTAATTAATGTATTCCATTACATTTAATGTTAAGCAGCAACACTTGTGTAGAAAGACAAGCATTTCTTCTCCATCACAGACACTGTAGTGCTCTTACCTCAACATTGTAGCCAGCCCCACCCCCAACTGTCCAAGGCCGCCTGAGAGAGAGAGAAGAGAGAGAGAGAGAGAGAGAGAGAGAGAGAGAGAGGAGAGGAGAGAGAGAGGAGAGAGAGAGGAGAGAGAGAGGAGATAGAGAGAGGAGAGAGAGGAGAGAGAGAGAGAGGAGAGAGGAGAGAGAGAAAGAGAGAGAGAGAGGAGAGGAGATAGAGAGGAGATAAGAGAGAGAGGAGAGAGAGAAAACATACATTATGGGAGATATTATCGTTACAGATCAACGGCATTGCGACAGGGTTGCCATGAAGACAAGGTTACATTAGAGGCATAGAGAAGATATAGCGAAGCAGAGTGGCAGACAGCGTGAAAAGGAGAGAGTCAGGGCCCTAGCTTCAGAGGGTCAGGGCCCTAGCTTCAGAGGGTCAGGGCCCTAGCTTCAGAGGGTCAGGGCCCTAGCTTCAGAGGGTCAAGGCCCTAGCTTCAGAGGGTCAAGGCCCTAGCTTCAGAGGGTCAGGGCCCTAGCTTCAGAGGGTCAGGGCCCTAGCTTCAGAGGGTCAGGGCCCTAGCTTCACGCCTACAGTGGTTCTCTCCTATTGGGCCTGCTGTAAAACACTGTGATGTTGTGGTCCTCTGTAGCTCAGCCGGTAGAGCACGGCGCTTGTAACGCCAAGGTAGTGGGTTCGATCCCCGGGACCACCCATACACAAAAATGTATGCACGCATGACTGTAAGTCGCTTTGGATAAAAGCGTCTGCTAAACGGCATATTATTATGTTCCCTTCACACAAAAAACCAACAGCTTTATAAATACAGCTATCTGTTGCTTGGGAGCCTTGTTTAGGTTCACTTAGAAAAAAGCTTATTTACTTAGATAGACCACAGATAGAGGTCCTATTGTGTGGTATTGAGGTTGTGAGGTTACGGTTCACTTCCCATAAATAGAGCTATGCATACTGTGTCTGTTGCTTGAGAATCCTTGTTAATGTTCATTTACACAAAGCTCTTCTTCTTCTTCAGAGAGAAAGAGAGATTGTGTTATTGGGGTTCTTGCAAATGAATACAGCTAGCTTGAGTCATTTGGGGAAGGTTTGTTTCTTCAGATCATTGTGAATAGATCCTATTGTGTTAAGCTGTAACAGGGATTCTTCCTCCTAGGTGGTGTCTCTCTGAGCTTTTACCCGATTGAGTGATTATTGATTTGGTCTTACCTGTGATGAGCACCTTGGGGTGGTCTGTCTCGGAGAAGGACACTGAGTGGAAGCTGGCGTCCGAGGTGACCTGGCGGGGCGAGAAGCTGATGGTCCGTACGGCCACTGTGATTGGTTGACAGCCACATCCTGGGCTCAGGAGGGCGTGCTTAGCCACCTTGCTGAGTGTTCTGATAACAGGCATCTTCACAGTCACCTAAAGGAGGAGGACGAGGACAGTGTAAGGACCCCACTCACCTGAATCCTTTACAAATAGGTAGAATGCTTTTGTTGTCAAGGACTCAAAACGTATGGTTCGGAAAACATTACCTATAATAATGTCTTTATTTTGTTCACTGCAATGTTGGTCCTGCCGTTTTGACTATGTCTATGTAACCGGTGTGAAATGGCTAGCTAGTTAGCGGTGCGCGCTAGTAGCGTTTCAAATCGGTGACGTCACTCGCTCTGAGACCTTGAAGTAGTTGTTTCCCTTTGCTCTGCAAGGGCCGCGGCTTTTGTGGAGCGACGGGTAACGGTGCTTCGAGGGTGACTGTTGTCGATGTGTGCAGAGGGTCCCTGGTTCAAGCCCAGGTAGGGGCGAGGAGAGGGACGGAAGCAACACTGTTACATCTAGGCCCAGGACAGGAAGCCTTGAGACGTTCTGTTGTCATCCTTTGGCGTCTAAGGGCCAATTCAGCAACAGCAGCTTGTGTCTCATGGCAGCAGCTTGTGTCTCGTGGCAGCAGCTTGTGTCTCATGGCAGCAGCTTGTGTCTCATGGCAGCAGCTTGTGTCTCGTGGCAGCAGCTTGTGTCTCATGGCAGCAGCTTGTGTCTCATGGCAGCAGCTTGTGTCTCATGGCAGCAGCTTGTGTCTCATGGCAGCAGCTTGTGTCTCATGGCAGCAGCTTGTGTCTCATGGCAGCAGCTTGTGTCTCATGGCAGCAGCTTGTGTCTCGTGGCAGCAGCTTGTGTCTCATGGCAGCAGCTTGTGCCTCATGGCAGAGATACACTGTGCATTAGGCATCCCCGGGGAATGAGACACGGTGGGGGTGTGGGGGGTGGGGGGGGGGGGGGAACGGGTCCACTAACGGGACTGGAATGAACGACGGAGCTCCTCGCTTGCTCAGCAGTCGTGACGTTGCTTCGTTTGTCGCGAAGCACAGGCTCTCTCCCAAATGTCCATTTATTCCCTTTGTAGTGCACTATTTTCTTGGGGGACAAGAGCCTGGTCAAAAGGTAGTGCACTAGGGAATTGGATGCCACTAGGGAAACGGGTCCACTAACGGGACTGGAATGAATGACGGAGCGCCTCGCTTGCTCAGCAGTGGTGACGTTGCTTCGTTTGGGAATTGGATGCCATTTTGGGACGAAGCGACAGTCTGACTACATAAATTACAGTAGCCTAGCCTACCATTATTGGCACAGTGTATTACTGCGTCTCCGGCGTTGGCTAGGCTAACAGTCGTTTGAGTAACTTAGAAGGGGGAAAAAAATCCTAAAATGGATCCGCTTCTTTCTAGATTTTATTATTAGGCTTTTCCATCATTAAGAGTTATGTCATCCTATACAAATTAAATTGGTTACGTTGTAACGCGCATTCATTTAAAATGAATTAACACATTGTTTTCCAAGCCTGTTTACTTCAGTGGGCTATCAATTTGTGCGCATATTTTCAAACTGAAAGAGACCCATCATCCATCCATCCATGGTTAGTCCTACTACAACATCACGCCTATCATACTGTATGGAAATCCGTAATTCATTAAGTCACACCTCTAATGATCTATTAAAAAAATATATATATATATATTAGAAGTTCACACTTCTAATTATTGCTCAAAGAAAAAACATTTTGCTCTTACCTTCACGTCAGATAAGCTTCTGAATTAAACAAAAAGTGAACTTGAGTAGCTTTATACTGCCCTGCCTTCGGTCTCTTGCCCAATCAGGGACAGAGGAGTGGATACGAGGTCGGATTAAATTAGTGCCAGACAGACAGACTGTAGTATGAAATAACGTACGCACTCACTTACTGTAAATCGCTCTGGATAACAGCGTCTGCTAAAATGACTCAAATGTAAAACGTAGCTGCATGGTGACTTTAGCTACAAGCTTTTCAAGGTTTGCCAGACAGAGCAGATAGACATATAGGAAACGATTTAGGGCACTGGGTTTCCTGTTCCTGTTCCCCCTCTCAGAACTGACTTGTATGTGAACTGTGTTATATTGACTAATTTAGGCTAGCGTAGGCCTGCTCTATAGGCTAGCGTAGGCCTGCTCTATAGGCTAGCGTAGGCCTGCTCTATAGGCTAGCGTAGGCCTGCTCTATAGGCTAGCGTAGGCCTGCTCTATAGGCTAGCGTAGGCCTGCTCTATAGGCTAGCGTAGGCCTACTCTATAGGCTAGCGTAGGCCTACTCTATAGGCTAGCGTAGGCCTGCTCTATAGGCTAGCGTAGGCCTACTCTATAGGCTAGCGTAGGCCTACTCTATAGGCTAGCGTAGGCCTACTCTATAGGCTAGCGTAGGCCTACTCTATAGGCTAGCGTAGGCCTGCTCTATAGGCTAGCGTAGGCCTGCTCTATAGGCTAGCGTAGGCCTACTCTATAGGCTAGCGTAGGCCTACTCTATAGGCTAGCGTAGGCCTGCTCTATAGGCTAGCGTAGGCCTACTCTATAGGCTAGCGTAGGCCTACTCTATAGGCTAGCGTAGGCCTGCTCTATAGGCTAGCGTAGGCCTGCTCTATAGGCTAGCGTAGGCCTGCTCTATAGGCTAGCGTAGGCCTACTCTATAGGCTAGCGTAGGCCTGCTCTATAGGCTAGCGTAGGCCTACTCTATAGGCTAGCGTAGGCCTACTCTATAGGCTAGCGTAGGCCTGCTCTATAGGCTAGCGTAGGCCTACTCTATAGGCCTGTAGTCACACAAGTGATGTAGGTACTGTAATATTATTGTAATATCACAGCAGTAGACTATACTCCAGGCCTACTGTAATATCACAGCAGTAGACTATACTCCAGGCCTACTGTAATATCACAGCAGTAGACTATACTCCAGGCCTACTGTAATATCACAGCAGTTAGACTATACTCCAGGGCCTACTGTCATATCACAGCAGTAGACTATACTCCAGGCCTACTGTAATAGTATTGTTATATCACCGCAGTAGACTATACTCCAGGCCTACTGTAATATCACAGCAGTAGACTATACTCCAGGCCTACTGTCATATCACAGCAGTAGACTATACTCCAGGCCTACTGTAATAGTATTGTTATATCACAGCAGTAGACTATACTCCAGGCCTACTGTAATATCACAGCAGTAGACTATACTCCAGGCCTACTGTAATATCACAGCAGTAGACTATACTCCAGGCCTACTGTAATATCACAGCAGTAGACTATACTCCAGGCCTACTGTAATATCACAGCAGTAGACTATACTCCAGGCCTACGGTAATATCACCGCAGTAGACTATACTCCAGGCCTACTGTAATATCACAGCGGTAGACTATACTCCAGGCCTACTGCAATATCACAGCAGTAGACTATACTCCAGGTCTACTGTAATATCACAGCAGTAGACTATACTCCAGGCCTACTGTAATATCACAGCAGTAGACTATACTCCAGGCCTACTGTAATATCACAGCAGTAGACTATACTCCAGGCCTACTGTCATATCACAGCAGTAGGCTATACTCCAGGCCTACTGTAATATCACCGCAGTAGACTATACTCCAGGCCTACTGTAATAGCACAGCAGTAGACTATACTCCAGGCCTACTGTCATATCACAGCAGTAGGCTATACTCCAGGCCTACTGTAATATCACCGCAGTAGACTATACTCCAGGCCTACTGTAATATCACAGCAGTAGACTATACTCCAGGCCTACTGTAATATCACAGCAGTAGGCTATACTCCAGGCCTACTGTAATATCACAGCAGTAGACTATACTCCAGGCCTACTGTAATATCACAGCAGTAGACTATACTCCAGGCCTACTGTAATATCACAGCAGTAGACTATACTCCAGGCCTACTGTAATATCACAGCAGTAGACTATACTCCAGGCCTACTGTAATATCACAGCAGTAGACTATACTCCAGGCCTACTGTAATATCACAGCAGTAGACTATACTCCAGGCCTACTGTAATATCACAGCAGTAGACTATACTCCAGGTCTACTGTAATATCACAGCAGTAGACTATACTCCAGGCCTACTGTAATATCACAGCAGTAGACTATACTCCAGGCCTACTGTAATATCACAGCAGTAGACTATACTCCAGGCCTACTGTCATATCACAGCAGTAGACTATACTCCAGGCCTACTGTAATAGTATTGTTATATCACAGCAGTAGACTATACTCCAGGCCTACTGTAATATCACAGCAGTAGACTATACTCCAGGCCTACTGTAATATCACAGCAGTAGACTATACTCCAGGCCTACTGTAATATCACCGCAGTAGACTATACTCCAGGCCTACTGTAATATCACCGCAGTAGACTATACTCCAGGCCTACTGTAATATCACAGCAGTAGACTATACTCAAGGCCTACTGTCAGAAAAAAATAATCATGGGCAGTTGCTTATTTATTATTAGCCTAGTTAATTTTTCTAAGCTTATCCAAATAATTGATCTAATTTATCAAAGGCTGTTAATTTGGTCTGTGTCTGCAATAAATCTTCAAACAGATAGCAATGCAGTCATTGGCCTCAAGAGTGATTTTTCCCACAGTTACAAACATAAGAAATGGTGCCCTCATCAATCACAATGTGTTCAGCCAAAAAAAAAAACACGATGAGCCAACATTGTTTGACTCACACATCATGTAGGCCTAAACCGGTTACGTTTGTGTTTTCATTTGGCTAGCCCAGTCAGTGGCCTGTTTAATGTGGGTGGCATAAAATATCAAATAAAATAAGTCTTATTCTGTATTTTTTTTATTAACTTATTTATTGGATAATTCATTTTTACACAGGTTATTGGTCTATCATTAGGCTGCTGTGGCTATTTTAGTACGCCTGCTACGTTAGGTTACTGTTTCAGCAATCTTGTCTTGGCTATATTCCCGGAAAGATGACTGCTTTCTCTCTCTCATCCTCCTATGCTGAGCCTCATCATATAACAAGGGTTATAACCGCAGCATGCCTATAGGTTAAGGCCCCAGGCAATGCTTTTTTGTTTGTTTGTTGCAGAATCACGACTATGTAACTTGTAGAATACTGAAGGATGTGTCCCATTTCTGCCTCTTTCTTAACAAAGGGACGCGCCCAGCACCGGTGCCCTTATGTTTCCATTCTGATGGTGTAATAATGGCATCTCCTCCTCGCCCCAGTGGATTGGAATGTGTGCTGGGACCGACTGGAGAGTACCGAGAAATATGCCACGCCAAAAACCATCCAACCTCCGGTAAACCGAACAAAGGCCAGGTACATGCCACATCATGGATAAAGGCTAAAACACGTGGGATTACCGTTCCCGTAGCATCAGGATATTATGCTGGCAGTAGGATCGCGGATTCTTTATATATATATATATATATTTTTTTTTGCACCCCTGCAAAGACTTGCTAAACTTTGGGTGTATCGAATTTTACGTTACAACTGTTTTTCGCAGCATTGCAACCACCTTTGAATTAACTGTTATATCTCCTTCTGTATGTTTTCCTATTTGCTTAGGATACGTTTTGCTCAAAGGATAGGCGTGCCAACAGTAGAATCAATCTGAGTATATAGGCAATATAAAATAAATAATAATTTGCGTCTGTATAAAAAACTACATTCTCCCATTATATAATTCT